CACAGGTAAATTCCTAGGGGTGAGAGAGATAGGGGCTTCCTGCTTCCATTTGAGGTTTTCCTGGCTACAGTGTCCTATCTGGGCCAAAACCCTTTCATATTTGATCATGCCTTTTTTTTTTTTTTTTTTTTTTTTGTCTTTTTATTGCTACCAGGGATCGAACTCACGACTGCCTGCTTGCAAGGCAGGTACTTAGGCCACTGATCATACTATTTTAACAGAGAGAAATATGGTGCATATGAAATAAGCTACTATTGCAATAGATGCTGGAACTTAGTAAAAATGGCTCTGGTGAAAAGCCCAGATTTTGAATTGGGAAAAGTATTTGCTAGAAGCATAATCTAAGTATGTTTCACCCCTGAAATTAGACTCAGGGTGAGAAGTTCATTAAAATTTCATTTATATGCTCAGTGAATCTTCCTTTCATGAGCAGTGGCTTCTCTCCTGAGTTGGTCAGGCTCAGCTCTGACTGCAGGGATGTTATGCTCTAGAAAACTCTGACATGATTCCAGTCTATTACTGGTTAGAGGGCATGGAACTATATCTGTAATACAGCTCTTGGCCTTATCTTTCTGCCAAAAAAGAACCCTGATATGACCCCTAGAGCCAAAACTGTTGCTGTAAAATGAGAGGGAGACAAGGAATGTGCCATTTGCCACCCAGCAGCGGATGCTGGCTAAGGCACATAGTGAATAAACATTTTCCCTTTTGCAGCAAAGTGATCAGAAGCTCGTTTCTGCTCCAGGAGGCTCTGGACAAGAGCCCAAAAAATGTGTACCGTCCTGGAATAAATGAGTCTGGGAGGAGAGATTTAATAAATAAGGCTTTCTATTGAAATGCTAAATGGCCACTTTGAAATAAGATCAGGCATGGTTCACAGTGAATTCAGATTGTGTTTAAAGCCCATGTGAAATCTGGCCAGGGTCTCAAATGATAAGTCACATGGTCATCTTGTTTGGATTTGAGGAAAGTGGCTTCAGGTAAATGGTTTTCAAACTTACTCTTTGGAGTTGCACAGGAAACTTAAAAAAAAAAAAAAAAAAAAAAAAAGAACTGGTTTTGTGATGGAGACCACTATGAAGCAGCTCTGCGCAAGGTTTAAAATTAACCAGTTGCCTTTCTATGTTTACTTGTGAGTCTGTCCGTGACCTGAACTTCCTGTCTGGAGATGAGCGGCAGACTCATAGAAAGTGAACCTCTGTGGGTCACTGGTCCCGGCTGGGCCTGCAGTGGCCCCTGATGCTGTGACACCTGGAAGGACAGGATAAGACCAGAGCTGAGGACACTTGACTCCAACCTCAATTAAATAAATAGAGACTGCAGCTGCAGGCGCCTCACTCCTGTAGTAAAAGTCAAGTTGGAGACTTTCTCCTAAGATACTTCTCCTAAATTAACTTAAGATCCCTCTTCTGAATTAACATAATCTGTTACTTGGGGAAGTCCTTGAACCACTCCCAAGGTCCTGCTCAGTTTCCCTCCTTTGCCATTCTAATCCTCTCCTTGTCTGAAAACTGACTATATATTGGTCGCTCAGAGAGGGTCCTTGTCTAAGCCCCAAGGGAATCTTGAATTCTGCAAGAGGGTTTTGATCCTCCTGGAGCCCTGAAAATCACACCACTTGTTTCCTTTATTTAAGTCTTCACTGTCCACTCTTTTGGGAGATTTGGGGCCTGATCAGCCCACAATAGTTTTCAGTCCTGTCTGTGCCCTGGAGCAGGTTTTTCCTTTATTCTGAGCTTCGGAACCTGAAGGAAGAGTGGCTGTGGGGTGAGTTAATCAGCTAGCGGGGCTTGTAGTCTTGATACTACTGGTGCTTGGTCCTAGTGGATCACCCTCCCCTGCTTGCTCTAGATGTGAGACCACTGCCATGCAGTGGCAGCCAATTACACACAGCCAGTCCGCCACACAGCAGGCCCAGAAGTCAGCTGGGTCCCCGAGAGGAAGTGTTTGCGTCTCAAATATTTCTGATGACTGCATGTAGAATCTGATTAAGTGTGTGGTGTGCAACAGCTGGATGGAACCAGCCCAGTAGGTAGGCTCTAGCCTGGGGCTTCTGACTCACAGAGGCACTGCTGGGGCTGGCCAGTCATGTTGGTGCTTACAGCAGGGCCTCCATTTCTTTGAGGATTACTTATTCTTACCACAGTTGGGGGTGGCCTGTGGGCACTGTTTCCAGGCATTGGTCCTCTTCCATTTCTCCCCAGTGCAGAAACTGAGGGCCTGCAGGGCCCCAGGAAGCCACAGAAGGTGGCTAAGTTCACTGGGCTGACAAGGGTATCGAAAGCCCAGGAGGAACAGCAGGGCTTTCATGGTAATAATAGCAGGTATTTATGCAATGTTTGCTTTGTGGGTGAACTTGTACCCGAATAACAATCATAGGGGAAAATCCTAGGAGGTAGGAAATATTTTTTGTCATTGTATGTTTTAATTTCTATTTTTTGCAAATAATGGAATCCAGGGCCTCACACATGCTAAATAAGACAACCCTTATTTTATAGAGCAGGGAAAAAAACAAGAAAGAGAGAGATTAAGCAGGCAAAGAAATATTGAAGAAGAATCAGGCTTCCCAGCAGAAGGACAGAATGCCTAAAGGCCCTGAGGCAAAAAGGAACAATGCATTTGAGGAAAAGACTGGGCCACTGCTGTTGCTAGAGAGGAAGAACCCAAGGCTGCCAGATTGCACAGCTCTTATGGGCCACAGGGATTTGGGCCATGAAGAGAGCAACAGATGGTAGCAAAATCCCAGCACTCTGGGAGGCTGAGGCAGGATGATCACCAGTTTGAGCCCAGACTGGGCAAGTTAGGGACTTAGTAAGAGCCTGTCTCAAGAAGCAAAACAAAAACACAGCATGGAGCAGTGGGAAGCAGTTGATGTTTTGTTTTTTAATAGTTATGGAATTTTTAAAATATATACAGGAGTAGAAGAGGATTCTAGGCCTCTGTGTACAAATCTCCAGTTTAAACACAGGAGCTGCCATTGTGATGGAGTGAAGCCAGCAGCACCCAGGAAATGCATGCAGAGTGGGCTCAGGACAGAGCTGAGCAAGAATCTGGGTAGAAGTGCTTATTTGTGAGGCAGCAAAGAGTGACAGGTAAGTGGAGAGGCCAAACAGGGAGGAAGGAGGGAATCCAGCAGGACTAGCTTGAAGGCATGCAGGTCTTTCGCTCACAGGTTGTGAAGAATTTCAAAGTGAAGCAGGCATGATGGTACATGCCTATAATCCCAGTTATTCCAGAAGCTGAAGCAGGATGATTTCCAATTTGAGACTAGATGGTCTTAAAAGAAATAAAAAGGACCGAGGATCTGTTCTGGGCATGTTGTGGGTTCAATTTCAAAGTGGTGGCAGCAGAGTACAAAACCCACCTCCAGGCCCTTCCGAGCTCGGGGTCCTGTGCAAGTACCTACCTGTTGGGCCAGGAAAGCTGAGGGGTAAATTCATGTGAGAGGCCCCCAAAGGAGGTGCACAGAAGCAGGGGTCAGCAACATATCCATAGCAGGCAGCCGAGCAGAGCAAGAGCCCCTCACATCTTGATCAATTAGCTCTTACACAGGTGGTTATCACATATTTACATTCTTGTATAGTGCTGTACTGGCTTGTGTGTGATTACCTGTCTAGGCAGGAGGATCATGTCCTCAAAGCTGTCTGGAAGCATCCTTACCTGCCCTGAGTTTTGGGCACTTTGGAGCAGTACCCCACATTGCCCTGCACCTCTGAATCAGGTCGTACCTTTATGGCCTAGTCCTGCGAGGCACACTTCCCAGAGAGATGAGAAGCCTTCCAGCAATATGGGAGACTGCTTCTGAATAGTTCCAACTTCCTGGCTCTTCCCACTTGTCTTGTTTGTTTGGTTGTTTTTTTTTTGAAACAGAATCTCACTAGCTCGTTCAGACAGGAGTTGAACTCATGGCGATCCTCCTGCCTCAGCCTCCCAAGTGCTGGGATATCAGGCTGGTACCACCACATCCACTTCCCTTCTGTCTTGCCAAGAAAGATAGTTTTCTCTGGCTTCCCCAGGTAGATCCCAACAGTTGTCATGGTGGCAATGCTACCAATGCAGTCAGTCCAGAGGACATGGGCCAGGTACCAAAAGCATCTGCCACAACAGCCGAGGACAAAAGAGCATCTCAAGAGAAACCAAAGAAACTTCTCAGTTTCTGGGTGTGGTCCTGGAAGGCTGGAGAGTGGAGAGTTCTTGCTGGAGACAGGGAACTGGGAAAGGCAGAGAGAGAGAGAGAGAGAGAGAGAGAGAGAGAGAGACACGGGGGGGGGTGCGCGTTCGCACTTTGACTCCTCTGTAGGGCAATGGTGGGAAGGCTGCTGGCAGCTGTGGTCTTAGACTCACAGTGAATGCCTGGCAGGGGCATGGACAGTGGCGAGGGAAGGAGTACAGAGGCCCCAAGATGCTTGGTGCTCATTGTCCATGGGCTGGGCCCAACCACTCCGCACCAAGTGCTCTCATTAACTGAAGCAGAGAGGCATCCTTGAGGGACATCTGCCCCTGCAGCCACCACTCAGGGAGGAGGCTGATGTCTGCAAAGGTCTCCTGCAAAGGGCTTCCAGGGTCAGAGCTGTCCCTGTCCTGCCCTGGCCTTGGCAGAGCAGAGAACAGATGTTCTGAAACCACTTGGGTCAGGCTGACCCTGCCGCCACCCTACACTCCAGCCCAGGGATGAAGCAGTAACAGAGGCTGAAGGGGAGGGAGGTTCTGAAATCACCAAATACTAAAGTCACTTTCCAGTCTTATCTATCGTTTCTGTTTCATGAGTTTTCTCCATGCAAATAAAATTGTAAGTTTAGCAGTGAACATTAGAATAATGAATTTACCCTTTGTCATGGTTTATGTCTGTGTCCCCCAGGACTCATGAGTTTGCATTGCGCATTTGTGATGGTTCATTGTCTAGTGCTTGTACTGATGGTGTCAGTGCTCCACCCACAAAGAGGTGGAGCCAGGATGTGGTGTAATGGCAGGAAGGTGTGTCTTGCTCTTTGCTGGTTCCTGTTTGCTGTTGGTGGCAGCCATAAACTGTGGCCCAGGCAGGCGCACTCCAACTGAGTGTGGACTGAAACCTCCAAAAACTGTAAGAAATAAACTTTTCCTTTCCCAACTTGGGCTTCAGGTATTTTGTCTCAGCAACGAGTAAAAAGTAACTTAGCCTTCAAGTGGAGACCAGAGAAATGCTGCACATTAGAGTCTAGTTAACTTGGAGCAGTTAAAGTAGCCAAAGCTTTGTAAGTGGGCTGCCGGGTGATGTGGGTGCTCTGTGACGTCACAGGCTCCAGGCACAGGGAGAGCGCTCCTGAGGCCACTTCACGCAGTCTCAAGAGCCAGTCTGAGTTTGAAACAAGAAGAGGGTGATGAATTGGACTTGCCAGAGCCTTGTAGCCTGGGGATCTTTGGCCCAGTAATTGTTCCTTATTGCTCTTTCTCATTAAAATCAAGGTTAAGGAAGGCATATAGCCCCTGGCTTTTAGAGAAAGAAATCTTTCCAGGGGACCCTGTAGACAATGGGGGTCCCACCAGCCTGGAGGGGTGACAGGATCTTGTGGCCTTGCTTTAGACTTCTCAGGCAGAGCCTTTCTGCCTTCTTGGCTATAAAGGATGGGCACACAAAGTCATCCAGTAGGTTCTGCTGTGGGCAGGTTGAGCCAGCCCATCTTATTCTAAAACATTCAAGTGGAAAGTAGAAGAAATGTAGATGAATGAGTCGGGTTTGTCATTGTGCAGAATTAAACATCTGGTCTGTTAAATTGTTTTTAACCTTTAAATCTAACTAAACCATCCAGGCACAGCTTGAGAGCCTCTTATTTATTATAATGTCATGGCTATTTAGCTCGGGGTGAGCACCAACCCCAGACAGCCAGTAACCACACAGTTGTGTCGTGTGCTAGGCAGATGACAGCCCCAGTTACCCTGCTCCCTCTTGGAGAAAGAACAAGAGGAGACACTGAGCCTGGCGGGGGAGTCGTGTTGTGTGTGAAGGAGAGGTGACAGGATCCTGTTCCCTGGGGCGGGCTCCTCCTGGCCACCACTCCTGGGCAGGCCTGTGCCACTCACCACTCTCCGATCCTGGAGGACTTGGAAGCTGAAGATGGATAATCTGCGATATTGAAAACGACAGTCCAAATTGGTTCCAAATAAAAGGATATTTCATAATGGTGCTGGCACTGATTATCTCATGCAGCTTCATGCTTCAAATATTTTCTAGCCAAATAAAGAGGACTAATAGCCCTCAAACTCTTGTCCAGTGTAATTACCATAGATCATTATAAATAGGTTCTAATACTGGTAGGAACGTAGGTGCCTGGCTGTGCCCATGGGGCTCTGCTGCCAAGAGAAGGCTCCGCACTGTCACGCCACCCTCGAGGCCTGCTTTGTGCTCTGCATGAGGAGTTGCTCTAATGTCTCGTGCTCTTGTGGTTGCTTTAGATGCCCTCAATACTGGAAAGAACTGGCATGCACTCCAACTCCAGAAGAAAAACTTGTGATGATCCCTGTCTCAGGAAGTACTACAGGTAAGAGCCAAAATGCATGGTGATCGATTCTTCATGTCTATTTTAATTTTGGGTGCTGAGGTTGGACCCAGGGCCTCCAGTACCTTATGCACAGGTTTTGCCTTGCAGCTACATGCCAGCTACATTATGTCTGTCACCTGCCCTATGAGACAGGCTTGACTGTTAGTCCCATGTTACTGATGCAGAAATGGAAGCACAGAGAAGCTCAAATAGCTCAGCACTGAACTGCTTGAATGAGGCACTGGCCCTACAGCATTGTGATCCTGCAAACCTCTTTGAATCCATTCTTTTTATTTTTTTAGGTGCAGGAATTGAACTCAGGACCTCGTGATTGCCAAGTAGGCACTATGCCATGGAGCTACATCCCTAGCCCAAATCCGTTCCTCTTATTCTGGATCCCTTGGGAGAAGGAGACTCAGCGCTCACCCTCAGGGACCAGGTGAGCTGATGGACTTGGAGGAAGCCTGTCTCAGGTGCTGGCTGTGTGCTGCAGGCATCTGCTGAAGGCGCTGGTGAGGGGCTGGGGAGCCGAGGAAGGGCATCCGAGCAGAGCTCCATGACTTCCCTACCGTGCCTGCAGATGATGTGGGTATAAGTCCCAGGTCCCTGTGTGAAGCTCAATTCCTGTCCTCCACTCTCTGGTTCCATGCTGGATCTAGACCCAGCCCCTCTGAGTGTGGCAGACTCCCCTGGGACTTGGTGTCCTACCTTCCCCTGTCTTTAACCCCACTATGTCCAGGTGAGCTCCTGATGGCCCTGCTCCCTCCGGCAAGCTTTGCCAAATTTAGCAAGTGAAAAGACAGACATTGACCCAGGGCCTTAAATTTATGTTTCAGATAAACAGTGAAACAATTGCACCTCTGTCCTGTGCAATATTGGGGATAGACTTAGAGCATTACAATACTTGCTAACTGCAACTCATCAGCACACAGCACCGGCTGGCCGGCTCCCAAGGCTTTCCCGGTTCATCTGCAGCGTGCCTGTGTCCGCTGTGGGGCGCAGGGCTCAGACAGGACGTGCCTGGGGGCCAGGGAGGCCAAGGGCAGCAGGAGGAGTGGTGCTGGGCCCAAGCAAGTCATGCTCCAGGGCGAGGCTGCGGAAACAGTCTTGCTAAGCACGACTCTGCTAAGAGGCTCAAGTGGAAATAGTGTCCATGTCGGCCACCGGAGGGCAGGCTGGCCTGTGAAATGACTTTCCTCCTCAGTAGAAGCGGGACTCCTGCGGATCCCTCAGAAACAAGAACTAGTGGAAAGAAAACCCAGGAGCATTCCTCTTCTCTGCCAGCTGAGTCTCTTCAGGAACCAGGCACACAAAGACTGTGGCTCTGGCATCAGGGCTGTCCCTGGGCCCCACAAGGTCTGTACTGAGGTGCTGGGTAAGCAGGTGCAGGGCAGAGAGTAAGGAGGGAAGGCCAGGCCCAGCCCAGGGCTGAGCACACAGATGACCCCAAGCCAAAACCGGGAAGCCAGCTGTGGTGAGCACACCTGCTGCCCCAGCTCTGACTCTGAGAAGCTGAGGCAGGAAGGCCAAAAGTTTGAGCCCAGCCTCTGCAAGTTAGTGATTTAGCAGTGCCCTATCTCAAAACAGACAGACAGAAAAGCAAATGAAAGGCGCTGAGTTCAGTCCCCAGCTCTGTGGCTACCTGAAGGAGGATGCAGCCCCAGGAAGGAGGCCCTGCCAGCTCTTTCTTCAGAGGCCTGTGGGGCAGAGGCCGATGATCATGAAGGAAGGGGAGGGCGTAAGAGGGGCAGGCAGGGAGGGAGGCACCGGGAGAGCAGGCGGGAAAGGCAGTGGAGGAACAGGGCCAGGGTGTCACTTGTCTTCTTCCTGCCTGTCTCTCTCTCTCAGTATCTCTCTCTCTCTCTCTCTCTCTCTCTCTCTCTCTCTCTCCTTTTTTCTTTTGACAGTGCTAGGGCTTGAACCCAGGGCTTCCGGCGCTGGGAAAGCAGCCTGCCCAGCCACACCCCAGCCCTGAACTGTGCCTTGTGACTTTGGGGAGACCGGATACTTTCCTGAGGTTCCATTTCAAATCAGTAAGCTGGGAATACACTTTCCCCACTTCAGTGGTTGAATGAGAAAATAGCTGTGATCCCAGGCAGAGCTCTGCAAACTGGGAAGCATGCGAAGCAAGGATCTGTCATCCCTCTGGGTGCTGGGACGCCCTTTCCCTTAAAAAATGAGGGGGCAGCTGTTGGCTGAATGAAAGAGAGGAAGCAAAGAAGGTAGAAGAGCAGGAGGAGAGAAGGCCTCAGGAGCACACTGGTGCAGCCGGCTCCCACAGCCCTCCCCGCGGCAAGCGTTCCCAGGCAGCCTCCTGTCATTGTCCCGTGCTTCAGACGGGCAGCCGTTAGGCCCTGACCGGCAACCTTCCGGAGTCCTGGCCCTAACCTGGGGCACTGCGGGCACCCCAGCTCCTCAGGCCATCCCTGCCCCACAGCTGCAGGGCACTAGGGTGCCCTGAGGTTCCCAGTGCGTCCTGTAATGGGAAGCACAGTGGATTCGAATCAGAGAAAGAGGCTTCGAGACCACCACACAAGTGTGCACGTGCCCATACTGGAGCTCCAAACCTGCTGGGGTGTGTGCTGCACCGTCTGCCTCCCTCCCGGCCTCTGCTCAGGGCCCACAGAGCCATCCCTGCCCCTAAAGCCCCTCAAGGACAGGGGCTGCAGGGTTCCTGGATCCCCACAACCAGCCCTGAGCTGGAGGGAGCGGGAGGGGAACAGGGTGGCAGTTCTGGCGCCTCTCTTTCCCTCCCTCCAGGTGAAGGCAGGGAAGAAGGCACCCTCCTGACCGCGCCAGGGCCCTTCTTGGGCGGCGCTGCAGACCTGTGAGCCCTGTCCCGTCCCCAGGCGCAGCTCATGGTGGACGCGCTGAGGTACACAGATGTGCAATGTGGCTGCAGTCCATAATGTTCACCCTAGTGTTTTCTGAGTGAGGAGGAAATAGTGGTTGAGCTTTGCTTCCTTCTTCTCCTCACATCTGTGGTTTATTTATTTTATATTTTATTTTTGGTTTATTTATTTACTTTGAGATAGGATCTTATCAAGTAGTCCAGGTCAACCTGAAACTCATGGAGATCCTCCTGCCTCAGCCTCCCTAGTCTGGGATCACAGGCATGTGCAGCCACACCTGGCTCATGATTTGTATTTGCTTAATTTGTTTTTTAAAGTTTGTCACAATCCCATAGAGAAAATCACCAAGAGAGATGCACAAAAAGAAGAAGAAAATGAGAATTACAGACAATGGAGTGTTAAAGTGAAAAAGTGTTAAAGTGAGAGGTGACACTTGAATGTGGAGACTGAGGAACGACCTGGCAACACCCAGAGGGGCAGCAGACTGTCAGGGGCTGGCTCACAGGCACCTTCCAGATGGCACGAGAGCTTCCACCCAAGCCACCCGCCTGGGACCGCGGGCCCTGGAACAGCAATGCCACAGGTGGCCAGCCCAGGGCAGCTGCTGGGACTCAGTCTGCCATGGTTGCCTGTCACCACCAGTTCTGCCCAGCCAGTGGGCAGAGGCACTGGGCCATCACTGCTTCATTCTGTCTCCTTGGCTGCTTTGTGTAGCCGAGGAGGAGTGATCCTGTTTGCTCCTGGAGCAAGGAGCGCTCACTCCCGTTATAAAATATCCTGCTTCCCTACTGTAAGGGGCCCTTTGATGGAGATTTACATTGCACCCGCTACCTGTGGTACATTAGACTCTGTCCGGGGAAGCAGGGTGGGGCAGTGGAGTTTGCCAGTGCGAGTTCAGATGCCCAGAAGCGCAGAGCCCAGCCACAAGACTGTGTGCTGCAGAGGCCACAGCTGCAACATGTGTGCTGGGAGTGCTGGGACGGCAGGGTGAAGGATGGGTCCAGAGCTGTCCGAGCAGGGCCAGCTGTGAGCGTGAACGGCAATGCTTTGTCTCCCCATACCTAGGTTATTTTCCAGTAGGGGGTTTAGAAAGCCGACAGAGGTGGTCAAAATGCATTTTGCTTAATTCAGTATGAGCCTAGGTTCCTTGGGAGCCTGAAATGGGTTGTTCCAGAACAGTCTGGGTCTTGTTTTTCACAAGGCAAAGAGAGTTTGGACAGATGTACGTTTACAGCACAAGCAAGCAGAGCTGCTCCAGGACACTTTCCCCAGTGATTGCATATGGGAAGTGCCTAAGTGACCTTTCCAGTGTGGCCTGTGCATCCCTACACTTCCCTGGTCTGTATTTTTGTGCACTGAGTATGGGCAAGTTATTCCAATGGCTGCAGCTCCTAAAGAGGGCCTCGATCTCAGGAGACACTCTGAGAAGCCAGCATTGTAGGTGGAAGGTGATATCCTGGTTTGGAAGGCACCAGTGACCCAGAGGTTTCTTTGTCAACGTAAGAAATGCAAGAAGATGGGCCAGAGATTTAGCTCAGCAGCATAAGTGTCTGCCTGGCAAAGGTGAGGTCAGAGTTTGATCCCCGGTACAAAAAAAAAGAAAAGAAATGCAAGAAGCCCACAGAGTAGAGAAGGAACGACTGACAGTGTGGGCAGATGGTGGAGGCTGATGTTCACTGTTAGCTGGCACCGACGCCATCATGGGCACTGCCCTCATGTGCCCACCCCAGCACACAAGGCCAGCACACAGAGCTACCAGGAGGCTGGTGTGCAGGGAGGTGCTGCTGGCTGCTTAGGGAATCCCGAAGGGGAGCTGCAGACCCTGTCAGCTCCAGGAGCAGCTGTGGACCTGAGGAAGTAAGGTGCAGAGGCCAGAGTTCCTCTGAGTTCAGCCACTCCTAAGGACTCGCAGAAATCCTGGGGAGAATATTGAGTTTCCATTAACAAGCAATCTGGGGTGCCAGCCAGTGTCATTTAAATTTCAAAGAACAGCATGTCTGCCATCAGCTTTTGGGCTACAGCCACAACTGCAAAGATGGGAGGAAGCAACCCCAGAGCGGGTAGGCAACGTGCTCAGGGTCACACAGCACAGACAGTGCTGTGGGACTGCGGCCAACTCTACTTGCTGGGCATACAGAGAGGCCTTGAGCTCTGAGAGTACAGTTCCCGTCACCTGAGTCTGCAGGCTGTCCTGGTTCCTGCTTCCCCGAAGCTTGGGAAATCTATTTCTCCCTTTCTTGGTCTGTGAGCTCCTCAGGTCCTTCTGGTAATTTCCAGCTTGGCTTCAGCAAGCCAGGGGTGGTTGCTCAGCTGGTCACTGAGGGGCCAACTGAGATGCTGCAAGGCTACCCTGCACCCATTTTGTGACTCAACCCCTCTCCCAGAGGATGGGGGAACAGGGGGAGGAGAAAGATGTGAGGGTGGGGGTGAGGAGGGGAAGCTGCCCCAGGTCTGCTCCTGTGCTCCCCCCAGGGCCCAGCATCCTGGGGGACAGTGCCTCAGGTGCAATGAAGCTCAGTCTATAAGTAGCCATGAGGTAGGGGGAGGTTTGGGCTCCCATTTAATTCAGCACAGAGTTTTTATTCTGAGACAGGCTCTTTGATTCTATGCAGACTGGAAAAAACCAAAATCCACCTTGAATTACTAAATAATCTGCTCAGCTATTTGGGTACCCTCGGAGCCCTGATTCCTGTCTCAGGTGGCCGCAGCCAGGGCACGTGAGTGATGTGAGTGGTGGCTTGCAGGGTGGAGTGGGAACTACAAAGCTCCAGCTCCAGGCCCTCCCCAGCAAAGGTCCCTGCCGGCAGCAGATCCTCTTCTGCATAGTCGCTGGCATCGAGCAAATGAGTCGTGAGGGCCATTGGAGACTCAGGCTCTGATCCCAGCAGTTTTCTGAGATGGTAGCTAGTAACAGCAAGACTGTTAACAAGGCATTACAGTTTTCCCTGCATTCACACTGCCTCACTTGTTCCTCACGGCTGGATCATGCTCTAGTCCTGTGGTCAAGGTGCCCCAGGCCTGGGGAGTACAAGGCACTGCCCCAAGGCTATTTGCCTTGGGGACATCAGCATGTAATGCAGGCTGGCCTTGAACTCATGGGAATTCTCCTGCCTCAGCCTCTCAAGTACCAGGATTTCAGACATGGCCCCACCACGTCCAGCTTGTTATTTTTATCATTGCACGTCTGCAGTTCGTAATGATCACGTCCATCATGGTGAGTTGGTACATGCACAAGATGCAGTTCGTTCCTTTTACTCCCACTTCTCTCCTTCCTCCTGTCTCTCTCCTCTACCTCCACTTCTTGGTCCCCTTCCCTTTGGCAAAAGATCTGTCTCCCTGTTTCCTGTCATCTGTTGTAGTCAGAGGCTGCGAGGAGAATAATTACATACAGGACACATAAGTTATAGTATTATTTATAATGGTCGCATAAGGAGTCAAATACAAAGAGAGTGCAGGAAATCTGTCCACAACACTGAAGACCTAGAAAATCCAGTCGAGGCCTGGATCCCATGGCAATCACCTATATGAGTTCAGCTGAAAACCTGGAGCCCACAACAAAAATTTTCAGGCCCTTATTTTATCCTCTACTCAGTAGGATTAATATTTACATTTTTGTAGGATTTGTTTTTGATGGGCTCTTAGTGATGCACTTCCACCAGAAGTTTGCTTAGGTACTGTTTGAGTCCTCAGTTGTGCTTAACTTCTGTGTTTTGACAAGAACTCTGACTACAAAGGGTGGTGTCCCATAGCTCCATCCTCAGGTTTGATCATT